CCCCAAAACCCCAAAACCCCAAAACCCCGTGTTTTCTTCATTGAGCAGATTGATTCGTTATGAAATTAAATTTAAAGTTATGATTGCTTAATAAATATGATCAGTGATATCTCGTGCTAGGAATGATTGAGCCATTATCCATATTTAAGTTAGCTAAGTCTATCTCTTAATAGATATAGTCAGTTGAAAGTCTCTTTTTAGAGTTTTAGTTTGAACTATTGTTATTAGCAAAATATTTCAAGTAAAGCTCATCTTACTCTTCATCATCTGAGTCCGAATCGTACAGCTAAACATTGATATTTGCCATGACCTTTTTCTTGAGATTATTCTGGAATTTTGTGAATAGAGGATTCTTGGTTGACTTCAGAACAACTTCATGTCTCTAAATCTCATTTCTCACAGTTCCCACCAGAGGTAGAATCATGTCTAAAATATTTTCTATCTTCTGGTACAACGGAATATCCAAGCCCTTATATTCCTCATGAGCTATTCTCCCAATATACTCCAAGAACTCAACAAAGTTGAGTTTTATATACGGATTAATATCCTTGTATCTCATTTCATTTGTAACAGTCATCTTGCACAAGCCATAGCACATAACTATATCCCTTAATGTTGCTGTTTGCAATTTTATTTCTTTCGCCATTAAGTCCTAAGCATTAGCAAATGTCATAAACTTCTATTTGTAACTAAAATACTTACTGTAAAGCTTCTACAGTCCAATCATATTCTAATCAAATACTAGGTTTACGTCTCTTACCCAAAGATATTTATCTCTGAAACTTTACCAAGGAAGCCTTTGAGTTTTGCTTATTACATGTTCTTTTAGAAGTTTAGTCAATGCCTCTGAATATGTTGCTACCAATCTGCTTTCTTTGAATTTCTAGCCAGCGATCCTCACTAGTACTTCGAAAAACTCATACCTACACAATGCTCTATCTGGATTCTCAGCTATTTACTCCAGCTCAACATTAGTAGCAATAAATGACCTATCTATTGCAGAAAAAGTTGTCTTCTCATCTACGATATTCGCTTACTTGACGAAAAGTGTGAACTCATTCCAGTTAATGTTGGGATAGTTAGAAGTTGAAATCAAAGTAATGTAAATATCCTTAAGAACCACTATATTATCTTTTATAACCTACTCACAAGCTCTTATGTCTTCAGTGTCCTTAATAAACCTGTTTATTTTCCAGAATTCAAAGTCTTCCTTAAGCATTTTTTAATATGTCTCTTCATTATCTGCTTTCCAATCTTCAAATACATTAGCATTTTTCTCAATGTATTCCTCCAGATATTGCTCATCCTCAATCACAACAAGCGATTTATAGTCTTCAAGTCTCACCAAAGGAATGAAATATTATTGAATTTTCGTCTGATCTAGTAAGTCACTTACATTATTAATGTTTATTATCTCAACTTAGCAAGTAGGCTTAACAAAATCTGCATAAATATAGAGGCTCTCGTCAAATTGCTCAACACTTTAATCTCTTGGTATTATTTAGGCATGATGAGTCTTTATTTTTTCGTCATAAAATTTTTTCCAAATATTTTGATAGAGTCTCTAGACGATTACTTTATCCAAAGTAGCTGCATGTTTCTAAAACATTTTAGGAACATTTTTTTTCTAATCTTGCAAATACTCTTATTCTGTATCTTTCTTAACCTGATCAAAATCTTTTTCAACTAATTTAGGGATGTCATTCAAGTTTATCATTTGCATTTCATCCTTCTTCATAAATGACTCAAAGCTTCCTGTTAATATAATTTTGTCATCTACTATATCTGACTCAATCTGAGATGCAATTTATTGTTTTAAGAGTGATAAGGGATTATTAGGTATAATAGGAAGTGTTTGCTGATGCTTTATTGGCATTTTCACATATTTAGAAATGTCCTTTTTCTTCTATACTTTGTGGACGAAGAGAGTGTACTTCCATCTCTAGCAGATAAAGCATTCTCTTCTCAAAGTCCATTACTCAGATCCTATGATCTCTGGATAGCCTAATATTCTTGAAAGTACTAATCTCTCTTTATTAGGCAAGTCATCCAGGTAAATAGCTTGCTGAAACTTAAAGTATTCCATTTCCTTCTCACAAACTTGTTTTTCATGATGAAATTTGTAATTAGTCTACCAAGATTCATTTTTTATATCTAGAACAGTAGGCTTTTCAGGCTTTGCGTTATTTAGGTAATCAATTAGATCAAATGACGCATCCATATAGGCTTTAATTGATTGATCTTACCTTATTGACTAGATTTAACTGAAGTGGACTGATTGTAGAGATTTTGATTTTTTTAGAGTCTTAAGTAGAGTCATTATCTACTTCTCTGTTGAAATACTGTTGGATATATCGAGATGGAAAAATCTCTCATTGGTTTTTATAAATCTTTTTAACCCTTTCAAATCTGTTTCCTCTGCAATTTCATTCCAAGATATGTTTAATTCTGTGATATTAAAGTTCATACTGAGTGAATCAAAAATGACCTTTAAACCTTTTTAGCCAAATTAATTCCATGAAATGTCAAGTGATGATAAATATTAAGTGTTCTATTGTATTATACTTGCTAGTAACTAAGCTTCTTTCAAGCCCATTTCACATTTACTCAGGGCTAAATTTCTCACAAAATTTTATTAGTTCATTGTCTTCAAAATTCTCATGATTGCACCACTCTGCACCCTGCATTTAACAATTTTCAAAGAATCAAGAGCATTCGGTGGAGGTTTTTCTAAGAATTCATGACAGATGAGTAATGATGATTGTTTCCCAACTTCATTCTAATTTGATACAATTAGATGCTTTAGCTTGTTATGATGAGGAAGATTTGACAAGATCTCATAAGTCATTTCATCTTGAAGAGCATTATTGGAAAAATGAATAGCTGAGATGTTTTCTGACACATACTGAAGTGCATTACTTAGAGCTGCAATAATCTCCTGACTCAAAGAGTAATTATACAAGGTAAATTGATTGTTCTAGATGTTTAAAACAGCTTATGGAATAGGTACTATGTGTTCTTATTCACAATTACGAAGGAATTCCATTTGAAAGTCAAGAGTCCCTTCCCCTACAGAAGTAAATATTTAAAATATAATTTTATATTACTATTCTTCGCTTAATTTAAGGTCTTAAGTTTATTGCCCAAGAACATTTCTCTCTAATTTTATTCTAAAAGAGCATCTGTAAATCTCTTTTAAACAGGATCTGCTGATGGCTGATTTCCAAATTATTAAAATTTGTCTTGCTAGTCTTTCCTTAGAGTTTGTTTATTAGTCTTAAGCAAAGACTCCAAAAACTAATTAAGGTTATAAGTTTACTCTAATCTTTCTAGAATATCTTGCTTAAATTGTTACTTTTTCTAGTCTTCTATGTCCTTAAAGACTTTCAGTTTTTCATCAAAATTGACTATTTAGCTTTTTCTTAGTTAAGTAAACCCTCCACCAGAGTAAAAGGTATCTCCTGGTCCATTTGTTCCAGTTCTATAAGAATCATATATTCCGCTATTCAACATCTTGAGTGCTTATGCTGTACCCTTCTTCTGTGAGTCATCAATTGATTAACCATTTTTATTCATTCTGAACGAGCTGACATCCTTTTTCTTCCTCAATAAAATAGGCGAATCAACTTCCTGCTAGATTATCTTTATTTTTTAATGAGACCATGGTTGTTTCTTTCCTAAAGAACTTGCATTTATAAATGCTGGTGAATTTATTGTAGTCTAAATTAGTCATATTATCATGATATTTAACTTACCATCCTTTGATATTTTAGTTCAAATTGCATCTTTTTGACAAAGTTATCAACTTCTTTATAACCTTCATCAATTTTCTTTTACAACTGATCCTCTTCGTATCTACTTATCTGATGCTCTTATTGCTGTTTTTATCTTTTGGTTCTATCTACTGGAGGGCTATTATTTATTGATTTATTAATTTGAGGTTAATATTATTTCTTAGGGCTATTAATTCTGGATACTTTGCTAATATTATTGGATTCATTATAAGCGCTATTATCCTCATATGGACTTAACATGCTAGCATTCATTCTGTTTTAGATAAAAGGGATAAATCTAGGTTTGGTATTTTTCAAAAAAGCAGGCCTCAAATTTGCAGATCCAGCCAAACTTGTTTCAACCATTGTTGATTCATCCCTGTCTTGAGTTTAATTACCTAATTCAGTTATCAAAACTGGCCTTGCCATTGAATATTACATGGCAGATTCGTTCTCTATTTAGACATTAATAGAAATTTATTACTCATCACTGAATTAGCAATAGGAGAAAGTACAATAGAGTTAGTGAGCTTGGATTTCCTCCTGACTTAAGATTTATTTAAACTGCTCATGATGTTGAGTTCTGCATCCTTGTATGACTTAGTTGCCTACTTCTGCTTAAGCATCTCTTCAAATTTTTAGGTGAAATTTTAATCTTTAATTGTCCATCCTCAGCCTTACAGTTTACTGCTGCTATTATAAAGATCAACACCCTCACTATTTCTCGAAATCTCAAGATAATTCTACGTTGATCTAGTAAAAATGAGTTTATTTACCAAATCAATTGAATGATTAAGCCTAACTTCCTTATTTTTTTATCTCATAATAAAATTAATTCTTGCCTAAAATAATTTAAAAATATAATTATCAATTTAATTTCTATTAATATCCTATCTGTCCTTCATATTTAATCTATGGGGTTTTGGGGTTTTGGGGTTTT